GTCTATGTGCGTGTCTATCTGTGTGTCTATGTGCGTGTCTATGTGCGTGTCTATCTGTGTGTCTATGTGCGTGTCTGTCTGTGTGTCTATGTGCGTGTCTCTGTGCGTGTCTATGTGCGTGTCTGTCTGTGTGTCTATGTGCGTGTCTGTCTGTGTGTCTATGTGCGTGTCTGTCAGTGTGTCTATGTGCGTGTCTCTGTGCGTGTCTATGTGCGTGTCTGTCTGTGTGTATATGTGCGTGTCTATTGTGTGTCTACATGTGTGTCTGCATGGGTGTCTATCTGTGTGTCTATGTGCGTGTCTATGTGCGTGTCTATGTGTGTGTCTATGTGTGTGTCTATATATGTGTGTCTATGTGCGTGTCTATGTGTGTGTCTGTCTTTTTGTGTGTCTATGTGGTTTTTTTCATTTCTGTTACTTAAAACAGGATTTGCAGATGGGACAAGCAAAATTATAGCTTCAAAAGGGAAAGAAATGTTTCCCTTTAGGTCAAGGTCAAGTTTATTCATAAAGCACATACAAAATAAAAAATAAAACATACAGACATGACTACTACAAAGTGCTTTCCAGACATTACAAAAATAGATGCACACTAATAAAAACCAGTGTAAAAAAATGAAAAATACTGGTCTGCTATCATAAAAGTTCCAGTTTCAGCTTCAGTTAAAGGCCAGAGCAAAAAAATTGAAAAATGTATCCATTTTAAGCCAGAATGAACTCAAATTAAGACTAAATTCAAATCTCTATAGTTTCATTTTCGTAGTTTGAAAGTTAGGTACCCCATTTTTAAAGTATCCTAACATGAAAATGAAAGGCCTAACCCGGTTATCAGGAACAATACTGCCTTAACGACTCCAATGAACCTATCTTAACATATTATTATTATTAGTTAAAACCATAGACTGTATATATTAATGGACAGAGTCACGCCTATCTCTGCCGTTCTAACTAATGGGCCAAAAAATATGCTCTCCAGGAGCAATCCAAAATGGCCGCGAGTGGTCCCGCCCACAAGAAAATTGTGAAAAAACGCATCTGCGCATGCGTCAGTCGGAGCAGCTCCGTTCATTTGAACGAGAGACTTCAAAAATTCACAGCAAGTAAACTAGAGTGGACCAAAAAAATTCACCCCCCTCAGCATTGACACACATGTGGAACGGAGCTTTGGGCCAAGAGACAACTTTTGGTCCATCCTGTAAAGACGTTTTCGAGAGGTTTGCCAATGCTATATGTTAGCATTGGCTAATTCTACTTCTGGGTCCACCCCCATCGGCCCGGGGTGGTATTGCAGCATGTCAGCGCACGTCATTTTGGCCAATTTTGAGCTGGGACCCTCCCCCACTGGTTAAAACACACGACTCAACATATAAACACATTTCCTCCTATACAACCCCGGGCCTCATCGCACTCCCCATAAATCCACTAATTTCGGGTCAAATGTTGCCTTCTGTATAACATCAACCAATCATGACACCATCCCCCAGCGGCACAAAGGGATGGGATCTGTGTGTGGCTATTGCTTTTAAAGCTCTTTAAACATTTCCACAGGGACCTGTAAGTGCGACACGCCATCGATCGCACACAGTTCATTCCTTTAACCAAGAAAGATTAGGCAGATGGTTCATTTTGACCAGGACGAGGCTCAATACTGCCACACAGCCCGAGTATAGAGTGTGCACGGCCCCTATAAGCAGATGTGGGCTCTTATCTGCGGTGATAGACGGTGACTGTTGGAGCAATAACTGTAAAGCTTATCTGTTCTCATGCAAATTGTCAGCGCACGGGTCGGCAGCCAAAAACACAGAAGGAGAAAGCAGAGTTCTAAAAAAGGTAGGGATGTGCAGTAGGGTTTAATCCCGGGACACGGGATTCCCGGGAAATCTGATCAAAACTATTTCCCGATTCCCGGGAAATGTTATGACGGGAAACGGGAAATGAAAGTTCAAACATATTTAATTTACAATCTACATGTCTACAGCTGAGAGGATGGCTCATAAATTGTGTTTTTGACAACAAATATGGGTCTTAATCGCGCTAAACCACGACTTGTATTGAGGCCAGCCTCAGGGTACGGGGCACATGTGAGCCCAGAATTTGGTTATGTCCAATTCTATCAGAAAGCTCCTTTCTTTTTTTCCATCTGCTAAGGGCAGCAACAGGTTTGGCTAACATACATATAACACATTTTAAGATCATATAAAATGCCTTTAGCGTAATGTTCTGCTTCCAAAGACGATAGGAATGATAAGGAAGAGAGGAGAAGGGTAAGAAGGTTGATATTAGAAATTGGATGCGCCCGAGAGCCGGCTGCAGCGAAACTGAGGTCGATAATATCATAACTAGTTTGTGCAGTAATCGTGGACATTGTGTGTTATCTCAAAGTACAACACTGTAAAACTAGTTTGAACTGGGTCCTTGCTTATTCACATCATGTAAAGTACACACATTATTGTCTGTTCTGAATAGGGGTGGGAACCTCAGGGTACCTCACGATACGTTACGATACGCGATACAAAGCTCACGATAACGATTATATCACAATATGACGATTATCGATATATTGGTCAGAAATATACTATTATAGAAATCTTTTAGTAACGTAATCTGAATAAACACAAAATAGTTTTAAGTGTAAGTTTTTAACTAATTCTTAACTCTGGATTCAAATACAACAGATATTGGCATAAATAAAAGAAAAATGTTAATTGAAAAAATACTTTTTTTCATGATAAATGGAATGAAGATGCGTAATGTAGCAATATATTAAGTATTGATACTAATTTTATTTTATTTATTTTTTTTAAATTGATACTTGGCAAAAGCATATCGATAATTGATCGCGTGAGAAAGTATCACGATACATCACGATATTGATATATCGTCACACTCCTAGTTCTGAACTTTCAGCCGCTCTCATAATTATTGTGATATTATCGTTTATCGCGATGATGTAGGGCTGGGCGATTTTCATTCAAGTTTGCCCTTAAATAGTTTTTGATTTTTCAGCTCAAAATTCAAGTTTCAAAACCGTTTTTATTGTTTCCCCCAATACGTATTAAAAAATTCTTGCACAGACTGTGCTAATATTGCAAGTAAAATTCATGTGCTGCTGGAACTCTCACATTCATTCAATTTCACAATTTTCAAATTTTTCACAAATTCAATTTTTTCAAAAGCCAATTAATTGCCTAAATTCGATTTATTGCCCAGCCCTGCTATGATGATTATTGAGACATTATGACACGATGTTATAGTATCGTCTCATTCCTGCACAGGACACACACTTTTATATTTGTACAACAGATACTTTTATCGTACATAAGATTTTCTCTAAACTTTTAACCTTTTAACTGTTTGTGCCAGGCCCCCGAGTGATCTTAATGAGGCCAAATATATAATTTACATTTCTTCAACGTTAGATCAGTAAAGTTTTATCTTATCTTAAACAATCTTCATATTGAGAGGGGAAAACAGGGCTCCTGAGCACAGATTACAGATGCAAACCACCGGCTGGTGCTAGACTTGAAAGGGTTCATAAAACGCTTGTGACTGTGTCTGTGAAAGGCCCTAAATAAGTAAAGATGACTTATGACTTATTTACGAACTCTGTGTGTTATACAGGACTAATTATTTTTGTATCAGCGTTGATTCAAAACATATGTATGGTGCCATTATTTTGTATGTGAATGTTATTTCAAAATATATACAAATACTTATAAGAGCCAGTCAAAAAAACTGCTAAACGTCGCTTAACAAACTGCTGCTGATTGGATACTCTGCTTGACAACCTCTGAATGAAATATATTATTGACTGTCGTTTTAGTTAGTATTTAAGTAAAGTTCAACAAAAAGTTTAAACTATACGTTCAGAAAAAGGACTAATGTTTGTACATCTGTTATCTGGGGACACACATACAAGTCAACATTACACGCCGTTCCTTGAAACTAGAGTGAACCAAACAAAAATATGCTAATTCTTGAATGTACAGCCAAAAGGAAACATGCAATAACTGTGACTACACCGGACATTGGCCCAGCTGCTAAAACAATCATGATGCAACGTTGAATTGGGGTTTTGTTTGGCAGCCCTATAGAGCCCTATAGAGGATCAGACAGAAATGCTCAAATTATGTATAGCACGTACATAACACTGTATATCTGCTATTGTATACACGTAGACTTTTGTGCTTATAGTGGGTCAAACAGAGAAGAGCCACTGAAGGCAACAAAGCCCCCTTCACAAGTGGGTGGACAATAGTGAACCCTCTGTGCCTGATCAGATGACTAACATTTCAGAGAAGACAAGACCACAGTCTGTATTTACAAGAGAGCCAAAACTGAAGGCTAAACACACAGGATCAGTGCAGCTATTGGCTTTACAGCTTGCATCAGAATCTGTTGGGGATTGCTCAATATTTCCCAGGCCAATACGTGCACGCAAACCCCAACGTTTAACCACCAAGACATGAGACAGAGGATGACAAATAAGACAGGGCTGGATTAGTGGGATAAGTGATGGCTGCTCAAATGACCAGTTATTACACCACTACTACAACTGTGAAGCAAAAACAGTATACTTGTCATATATTATCTTTTAAGAATCAAAATGAGTAGCAGCAGAAGTAGTAGTAGTAGTACACAAAAGTAATCTCTTCAAATGACTGAACGTAAAACTGGCTCAGAACAGAAGTGCCACCAGAAGTTGCCAAGTAAGCACTAGTAGTAGGGGCGCCACAGCTTGAGAACCACAATTCTTAAAAAGCAAGTGCAAAGCAGGCTTCTCATTGGGTACCACTAACAACAACAACATGCTAAAAACATGTTTATAAACGTGTATATAAACTATTTTGTCTAAATCGTTGCAAAAACATACGCAAGTTGTGGATTCAAATACTTTGCGTTTGGCTGATGGAATGGAGTGACCCTGTTTCTTATGCTACAACAATGTGGAATTCAATGCATGGACATCGGATGTGGTGTGGTGCAGGTGGAGCTCTCACCCGTCCATTGGGAGTTAAGTCTTCTTTATTGCGTAATTCAAACGATTCTTCCTCCTCTTTCTCTCCATATTCCCTTCGCAGCAAACTGAACCCCTGCCTGCAGCACACAAACCAGCAAATCCCTTGCATAGGCATTCAAATGAGGAGAAGTTTGTCCTTTTTTCTTTCTTTTTTTGCGCTGTCCAGGTTTTGGCAAGGAGCAGTCAACACTCGCGTCTTGGCTGCTGTAGTTGTAGGTCACTCCAGGCGCTGCACCATTGTCTCTCCATAGATAAGATTACGCGTAAAGAGGATGAGGGAGGAAGCAAGTTTTAGTCCAGTAGATAGGTGGAAACAGCAGCCTATACGTGCATGGCTGTGGTTCGGTGATTGAACTCCAAATTTAAAAATAAAAACACAGAAAAGTGTAGAAAATCCACAAAAAATAGTTCCAGGGACAGTTATCAAGACTTCCAACGTAAATTACGCGCGGGCCATGACACTTCGGGGGAATCCGTGATGACAGAGAAGTGATTCTAACCGCGATGATTGAGTTGTGAGTTTTGAACAAAGCGTGCTCCTGCAGCTGGGGACGTAGCAGGCACAGTACCGCCCACGTCATAAACATGCGCGCTGCCATTGGACCGATAGTGACACTCCCCGGGACGCTCCGCCCACAACCCGTCCCTCCTCTGAGAGAGAGAGAGAGAGAGAGAGAGAGAGAGAGAGAGAGAGAGAGAGAGAGAGAGAGAGAGAGAGAGAGAGAGAGAGAGAGAGAGAGAGAGAGAGAGAGAGAGAGAGAGAGAGAGAGAGAGAGAGAGAGAGAGAGAGCGCACATGCCTCTTTGAGATGTTAGTAATTAAATCATCCATATCAGCGGGCTGTGGGCTGTGGCTCACTTAATCCTGCATTCTCTTGTCTGGGGCTGGATTGGAACATGCTTGGGCTGATAATTAATAATGCATCGGTTTTTTGGAAACTCAAAGACACTCTATTTGTAATTATTCTTTCACTCCATACACGGTGGTGATAAACTACTAAGGTAGCCACAGCTGCCCTGGGGCACACTGACAGAAGCGAGGCAACCAGAATGTGCCATCGGCCCCTCTGACCACTACCACCAAACTCATTCTAGGCAATGGGGATGAAGTGTCTTATAAAGCCGCATTTATTCTTTATTTTAGGCAATGGCACTGGTGAGTGAGCCAGGTAATTAAATGCAGTTAAATAATATAAATCATATAATGCAAGAAACAGACAGACAAAACACACAATAAACAAAAAACGGTATAAACAAAACATTTATAAACAATAAGTGTACGGTATAAATATGGCCGTGGAACTCTGCCTGAAAAGGAGTGGGAAGAAGAAAAAAACATCAGGTGTTCCCAGAGGTTAAGTGTCTTGCCAAGGATATGATGACAGCAGAGGGAGCTACTATCGCCCAAACAATTACTACATCCATAAACCGTGTGTTGCCGGTGAACCATGCTTTCCAATCCCAAAGAATGAACTTAAATCCATCTGTCTCGTTCCTTGTTGTCAAAACAGTATGGTTCTATCGTTCGCTTTTTTTTCAGACAGAAAAGTGAAATAGAGTGGACCCCCCTCAATCATCTCGCAGCAGAAGAAGCGTCCACTAGTGACGCTTGTCTGTTGGAGATGCCACTACTACTGCTTCTACTGCTACTGCTGCTGCTATTACTACAACTACTAGAACTACTTAAAAAAAATATATATATATACAGTATATATCCGAGCCCAGAGTTATCGAGTGAGAAAAAAATGCTATTCCTCACGGAGTCACGGTTGACTGACCTGGTCTTATTCCAAGAGAATCCCGCCTCGCTTCCCTGAGCAGGGGGACTTACAGGTGCGAGCTCCTGGGGATGTGACCCAGAAGGAGGGGAGCGACCTGAGGGGGGAGGCCCGGGGTCTGCAGGACTTGGCCTCTTCCATCCATCCATCCATTTTCTTCCGCTTTATCCGTTGCCGGGTCGCGGGGGCAGCAGTCTAAGCAGAGACGCCCAGACTTCCCTATCCACACACACTTCCTCCAGCTCGTCCGGGGGGACCCCAAGGCGTTCCCAGGCCAGCTGAGAGACATAGTCTCTCCAGCGTGTCCTGGGTCTTCCGCGGGGCCTCCTCCCGGTGGGACGTGCCCGGAACACCTCCCCAGGGAGGCGTCCAGGAGGCATCCGGAACAGATGCCCGAGCCACCTCAACTGGTTCCTCTCGACGTGGAGAAGCAGCGGCTCTACTCCGAGCTCCTCCCGTGTGACTGAGCTCCTCACCCTATCTCTAAGGGAGCGCCCAGCCACTCTGCGGAGGAAGCTCATTTCGACCGCTTGTATCCGCGATCTCGTTCTTTCGGTCATTACCAAAAGCTCATGACCATAGGTGAGGGAGGGAACGAAGATTGACCGGTAAATCGAGAGCTTTGCCTTTCGGCTCAGCTCCCTCTTTACCTTGGCCTCTTTAAGTGGCTTAAAAAAACTCTCTGAGCTCCTTTGAATGGGCTCAGGGCTGTGCCTACAGTGTGGACCTGTATGTGTGGTCCAAAAGTATTTCACTTAACAAAATAGTAACTTGAACGACTTCAAGTTATTACTACTACTGCTACTACTACTACTATTGCTCCTGCTACTACTACTTTTACAGCTACTGCCACTACTGCTGCTACTACTGAGCCGCTACTGCTACTACTACTGAGCCGCTACAGCTACTACTACTATTACTGCTACTGCTACTACTACTCATACTGCTGCTACTACTACTACTACTGCTTCTACTACTACTACTACTACTGCTACTGCTACTGCTTCTACTACTACTACTGCTTCTACTACTACTACTGCTACTACTGCTACTACTTCTACTACTGCTACTGCTACTACTACTACTGCTGCAGCTACTACTACTACTACAGCTACTACTACTATTACTACTACTACTACTGTTACTGCTACTGCTACTACTACTGCAGCTACTACTACTACTACTACTACTGTTATTACTACTACTACTACTGTTACTTCTACTGCTGCTACTACTACTACTGCAGCTACTACTACTACTACAGCTACTACTACTACTACTACTACTCCTACTACTGCTACTACTACTGCTACTACTACTACTGCTGCTACTACTACTACTGCAGCTACTACTACTACTACAGCTACTACTACTACTACTACTACTACTACTCCTACTAGTGCTACTACTACTGCTACCACTACTACTGCTGCTGCTACTACTACTATTACTGCTTCTGTAACTACTACTACTGCTCCTACTACAGTGGAAAACATTCCTCAGTCTTTCATATCTGTATTTATCAGCCTAATCTTACATTTCATGAAGTGAATCGTCTGGTGTTGGTTTTAGGATTTGCACTGGTGGTTGAATACGTAAATGCGAACAGAGCTGCAGCGCTAATGCAGAAGTACAAGTATTTCCGAGATACGGCAATTCTTCTTTCTTTATACTGCACATGTTTTCTGAGAATTGTACAGACAGTTTATATAAGTGCATTTAATTCTATTTAGCTTTTTCTGCATAGTTCCTCTTGAGGTCAGGAGTGCTTTGTAACCAGGATGATATATGGTTCCACTAATAACCCCTGTATATTGGTTTATCTCACATGCTTGACTTTTTTCTCTTATGCACACATGCACACGCACACACACACACGCACACACACACACACACACACACACACACACACACACACACCTCCTCCCTCCATTCCCTTCTGCTCACACTCAGCCCCCAGTGACACAGCAGTCCATACGTGTCAGATTAGAATTGTTTTGACTTTGATTAGCAACTTAAAAATACTCGATTGAGGAGTCAAAGTATATGGCATGTGACGTAAGCAGCCTCCTCGGCGCTCTGGCTGATTTTCTGTCTTAATATCCCTTCATTTCCCCTTTCCCTCCGCTCTGGGCCGCCCCTCCACACCCGCCATACACCCCCCACACACACACACACTTCAGGCAGTCGGCTGCAGTTAACCGCTTCCTCACCGAGAGCTTGCGTTGTTGGAAAAAAAGTTCAAAATATATGTTCATTCACTAAAAATAAGGGTTTGCAGTGTTACTTTGAGGACAGGTTTGTGTACACGCTGAAACACATCGGTTGGAAGTTATTGATTAGAGATGTATCAATCTATTGGGGCCAAATGATTGACATTTTTAAGATAATTTTCTGGTAGAGGATTGACCAACATTGTGAAAATATTCATGTAGGAATAATCCGGCGCTACGACCCAATTGGTTGAAAACAAAGAGAGATGAGATTGATTAGACATGACCAGAGAGTAACTATAACCCACAGTCACCAGTACTTTTACTTATACTGATACTACTACATCTACTGCTGTCTTAAACATGAGCTATTACTACTACTGCTACTGCTACTGCTATAACTACTACTTGCCATGTTTACCGCTACTAATATAACTATTAATACTACTGATACTATTACTGCTACTACTATAACTACTACTGCTACTTTTACTGCTACTACTATAACTACTACTACTACTTTTACTGCTACTACTATAACTACTACTGCTACTTCTACTCCTGCTACTATAACTGCTACTACTACTTCTACTCCTACTACTATAATTACTACTGCTACTTCTACTCCTACTACTATAACTGCTACTGCTACTCCTAATCCTACTACTATAACTACTACTGCTACTTCTACTCCTACTACTATAACTACTACTGCTACTTCTACTCCTACTACTATAACTGCTACTGCTACTTCTACTCCTACTACTGCTACTTTTACAGCTACTACTATAACTACTACTGCTACTTCTACTCCTACTACTATAACTACTATTACTACTTTTACTGCTACTACTATAACTACTACTGCTACTTCTACTCCTACTACTATAACTGCTACTACTACTTCTACTCCTACTACTATAACTGCTACTACTACTTCTACTCCTACTACTATAACTACTACTGCTACTTCTACTCCTACTACTATAACTGCTACTGCTACTTCTACTCCTACTACTGATACTATTACTGCTACTACTATAACTACTACTGCTACTTTTACTGCTACTACTATAACTACTATTACTACTTTTACTGCTACTACTATAACTACTACTG